AGCTTGAAAACGTCTGCTGATTCGATGAGGTTGACTTATGATAAGAGATCTACTGAAGTCAGCTTTGTACCCGGACAGAAGGTATGGTTGTATAATCTCAGGAAGACCAAAGGGAAATCTCCTAAGTTGTCTTTTCCATGGAAAGGCCCATACGACATAGTGGATCGTCTCTCAGACGTGACTTTCCGGATAAAATGTGGTCGGCGAGGTAAGCCAAAAGTGGTGCATGCCAACAGGCTTTGGCGTTATCACGGTCCAAGACATTTCAGTTGGGACGAAGTGGAAAACAGAACAAATGGCGCTGCTGAAGACGTGCCACCTGAAGAAGCCACCGTCGAAGAAGAAACTCTACTCAGTTTTGAGAAGGGAAACGGTGAAGCTCTTGATGAAGTTACTACCACTGATGTGACTGTTACCGATGATAGGACATTTACTGATGAAGCAGATGAACCCCGCATGAAGCAGAAGCCAACAAGACGAGACCAGTACGGAAGAAGATACGTCCCGTAAAATTAAGAGACTTTATTGAATTGTAATTTTGTGATTGTAATTCTGTACAGTTGTTATTGTTAATTGTTATTGGTTTATTGTATGTAGTTATTGTTCGGGACGAAAAATACTAAGGAGGGGGCAGTGTTGCGTCATCGAGGTCACGTGACTAGTGTGGCGCCCTCTCGTTTCTAGAACTATCCTGTACTTTGGCGAATGCTCTAGTATTTACTAGATATAGGGTAGTCGGGTATATAAAAGAGGGTAATGTAATGTGTGTATGGACAGTGAGTGATTGAACTGCAGTCAGAGAGCACGAGAGACGTTACAGCGTTTGTTTAGCGCGATTGTTGAAGTTGAGTGTATCGGTAAAGTTGTATTCGGAAAGAATAAACCAGTTTTATTAAGTAAAGAACTTGTGTCGCTAAAATTTCGTCGGAACGAAGTTACGGGAAGTTAATTAACAAACGGAGACGTAACAATATATTCAAGTTGCCTCACAAGGCCTGTCCCCATTTATTGGACATTCAATAATTTCCTCTCTGGAAAGGGAGCTTACAAGTGAGTAAGGGTTACTCATGGGCAAAGATTCTCAGCATTGCAAATGGGAAATACGTTATGACACGGCTAAACATTTGAGCAGACACATTAATTCTAACAGAAACACAAAGCTGATGAAGTTTTAAAGAGAGCACTAGAAAGCTCTATAATTTGTACAATGAATTAAAGGGTGGGAGAAGAACAGCAGGGGGGGATCATCAGGTTGGCTCTGGCTATATATATATTCCCCCTCCCCAATGGTGCTGGCCCTGTACACAAATAATTGAAATCAGGCTAGCCATTATACACGCCTAGGATACAAGTGTAGCAGTGGTGTAGGAAGGAATTGCAAAATGGGGGGATGCTTGGCTAGACATGCAGATTTTACGAGGTTGAAAGTATAAAGGAGCTACTAAAAGCAGCTACCATGCAGCCAAAGGCAGCTCAATCTAGGAGGGTATGGGGGGCGCGCCCCCAAGAAAATTAATATAACTTACAGTTGCTATACAAGTCAAATATGTAAAAGTGAGGGCCCATGTGTAGTCTTGTTTGAAGCAATTATAAAGCAATGCCATGCGAGTGTTACTTTTAATCTAAGGTCATAAACTTACAGTCCACGCTAGCATCTGTTCTAACTGCAACCTATACTGAACAAATTTTAATGAAATATTGAATAAAACAGCCGATTTATGAAATAGTTGAATTTGTATGACTTAAAACACAGAATAATAATCCAGTAAGACACTGGGTAGATTTGATATGACACACAAGTTACTTTCAGCAGACTTTACTTTCTACAGATATTTTTATTTATTCTACCTACTCATGAATATTTCGATTTGATTCAATCAAACAAATCCTCAACTAACATTACTGAAAATAGAGTAGAATTGTGTTTCATACCATTATATTTATGCATATTCTACAAAGATTAACCCCTGAAACATCCCCTTATTTGGGTTAGACTCCCCATTCCTTGGGAGAGATGATGTAGGAACAAGTGAAGAGAAGCTCTACTGAATTACCACTATGGTATATTGGTATACGGTGACAATTCAAGCAAGTTTATAACTACTTACATCCTGTTCAAAAAATAATACCTAAATGCAAAATGCCTGCATAAATATATAGTTTTCTAGTTAGAAAAAGATAAGAGCTATCAGTTTTCATCTACCACACAAACAACTCAAAAGCTGGTTGTACAGTTTAATATTTCACACACATAAAATTGTTTAATAAATTTAGTTTTAGACATGTTCACACAAACACACACATGTAAAGTTGGAGGAAAGTCATCTCTTGGATAGTAATTCAGGTCGATATTTTCACATTAACGTTAATGTTTAACAGGATTAATTTTCTTGTGTTATAGGATTTTTTTATTTATTTGAGTTAGTTACTTTGGCTGATCTGCATTTAATGGTACTAATGTTAATCTTTTATTTCATTTTTTCCATGAAATGAATTATTTTAGTAGATAAAATATACATTTTATTTTGCCAGTAGGGCCTTAAACTTTAATAACCTCCACTTATCAACTTGTAACACTTTCATAACAATACTGATAAATACTTGTGCATATAAAAAATACTTGGCTAAAACATAACTTATAAAAAAGAAGATAAAGAATATATATATATATAGCCTATATATCCTCCTTGTTTAGAAAGTGTGCTGAATAGGGAAAGCTCAAAGTACAATGACAGTGAAATGTGTATGTTTGTGGTAAACTTGTAATTGTATATTTTCAACTACAGCATGTGCTTGAAACTATATTTTTTTAATTGTTTCAATGGGTGTTTCGAAAGCAATTTTCTTTAAAAAATGCTAATGGTTATTATTCTATTGTACAAAACAGTATGACATTCACAAAATAATAATGAGGTAGACCTTATGAAAACTTGAAAAATTTGTAGTATGGAATATTTCCAAGTATTAGATTAACTTAGCCGTTTAATTCATTGCAAATTAAAACTGTATGTGTAAGATACAAGTATTTAATAAAATACAGTCTGGAACAACTAAATATATATAATTTTTATTTCAAGTAAAAAAGGGTCAATGAGACAACATACAAATCAACAAATTTCAGGATACATGAATAAATTGTATAAAAATCAGTACAAAGTTTTGTTCCCTATATTTGTTTTATATCAAATCATATTTATTAATTAATTTTTTTTTTTTTTAAGAAATGGAATATAATTATGATAGTTTTTCCGACTCCACATTTGTTTGCAATGAAAACAACCTAACAACTCAATTTATTAGTATCAGATATTTTTGGACTAGTTGAAGCATTACAGAGGAAGATGAATAAAAGCATATCTAAATACTAACGCAAATGCCCACTTTCATTCATAATGAAATACAGTTGAACATCAGTATGTTGAAGTGCCAGGGACTTTGGGAATTTTCCCGAGATTATCAGAGTACTGAGGTAGCCGATCCAGGACCCTAATCTTTGTTTTGATCCATGATAAAAATAGGGTATTTGAGAGAATAAATGTTAAAGGAAACAGATGGGACAGAATTCCAATTTCAGCATTAGTCACATATTGAAAGTAAACAAGTCTGACATAACAACGTCCAACAGTAATACATTATGGTCCCTGTAAAAATATATATATTGATCATTAGTAAGAAAACCAGAAATGTCAATGTTGGATTATTGAATGGATACAAGAGATTGAAATTATAAAACAAAACTTGTATGTTTGCGTACAGTTATAAACCTTAAATATGGATGGTATTTTTCACAAGCTAGTTCTTATTTCTTTCATTGTGGTTTAAGATGAAAACTGCATTTAGTAAGATTACTGGTTAGTTAAATATTGGTATTTTTTATGATTTTTTATTTTATTTGTTGATATGTTTAATAAACAGCACAATTTGCATTAGTGGAGATAAGAAATTATTTAAATTTTGCTAGAGTAGTTCACCCTTATTATTATTTTCTTCAGAATCATGTAATTTCTTCACAAGTTTGGTAGACCCTATGAAGTCTAATTTCCGCTTTCTTTCTGAGACTCATTGTAAGTAAGACAGTTGTGAGATTCTCTTGCAAGAGAACAGCAAGCTAGGTTAATCTAGTTGCTGGCTTTTTCTTGGTCAATCACTAAAAAGAGAAACAATAAAATTATTATCAAGTGATTATAGAATATTTTCATATACAAATTAATATATTATTTTTATATCTATACTAATTTTAATGTTCAGACTTCAAATGAGCATATAAATAAAGAAATAAACTTATATCACATGTTTGTTACTAAGTTTTCTTTACTGATTTTGTGAATGGTTACCACTCTTTTAAGTGCTAATATAATGTGTAGGATAAGTAATTTACTTACATTTAAATACTGTACATGAAAACTGTATTTGCAGTGATGTGGAACAACAAAAAAATTATGAACAAAAAGCTGTTCTATGAACTACAATATAAGAGATAAGGGAAGATTTATGCTAATACAAACCTAATTTGATGGTTCAGGATCGGTGAAATCACAAAAAGTACTAAACAAGACTATAAGCACCTGTAGTCACACTGCTGTTAAAGTAAACAGAGATCTATTTCTTGTATTATAATAAACAGGTCCTAAACAAAGTTTCCTTCTTTAAAATTCTTTTTTTCTCTACCATTCAGAAATGAAAACTGATAACTACACATCTCCCCAAAATCTTGGATAACGACCTGATGTTAACCATTTTGTTACGTTATAAATATTTAGATTTAACTATAAAATTTTATTTTTATTTTTCTAGAGGTATATATAATTTTTTTTGATATTTTTCTTTTCCTTTTAGTGTATGTTAATTCCAATTAACATACAACACATAGAATTTAGTACAAGACCATGATGAAATGCACAGCTTTTTTTTTTTAATCCGACACAGTTATTTACAAATTGGAATCATACTAATCATTTAATTTCAAATGTATAATAATTACTGCTTGGAAGTGATTGTGATATACCCAAATCTTAGTATGTTCATAAAATTAGGTTTGTGTCCATCTGTTCTATGTTTCTGCATTTTAGCATAATTTACGTTTACTCATAATTACTATTGTGCATTAGATTTTGTTGGGTATTTTAATAACAATATGCACAAGAATACTGAAGATTTTAGTGAGTACAATGCAAAGAACAACCTGGCAGTGTTTGTTTTTAAGTGTATAGGATAGCAAAAAACAAATACTTCTTTATATTGACATTTAATCAAAATATTGATGGTTTCTATATTTTTTATAACAGTCATAAAAGTAAAGAGATTACTATACTGAATCAGAATTAAAACCATTCATATTTATAACCATTGATAAGCTAGTATTAACAGCTGAGGGGCTGATGCAAAATGTTTACCATCAAACTCAGTAATTGAACAAGTGACTATTTAAAAACCTTTGTGATAAAAGTGCTAGAATTCATATATATGGAACCATTATAACCTTTTATTCAATCTTCCAAAGTTAATACATTTATTTTCCATAAAAGTGTCCCTAAATATATAATAATATCAATCATGACATCTACTTAGACGTCGCAAGAGATGTCCAGAAATCTACACAGACATATTACCATGGATTTAGTTCTTACAGACATTAAACAAGAATTAATAAATAATACTAAATAACAAAAATTTGCACATTCTTAGGAAATAAAATGTGGGTAAGACAACAGGGACAAAAATAAGACAATTTTACTTAAGGCTGTTGAGGTTTTTACATATTTCATCATCATAAACAACCACTGTGCCAGTTTTAAAATAATACATTTAATTATTTAATAAGATGAATATTTGTCTTATTTCATGGCAGAATGAAGATGATTTTATTTGAAGGATGTTACAAAATCAGTATACAAAATGAGCTTTGATTTTTTTGAGAATGTATGCATTAAGACTGACATTTATTGTGAATCCACCATTGCACATTTTTCTCTTTATAGCAATTTCCCTGAATATATTGAAAAACAAACAAGAACAAAAGAACAAACAGAAACAAAAATTAAAAAAAATTTATAATATGCAACTTAAGCCCAAAACAGAATGGAAAGCTTAAAGTGTTAAATATTATTACTTTAAAGTTTAATTGATATGGAGATTTAGAAAAGTTAAAGCCTCACTTGCAAAGTGGAAGAAACATGTAACCATTATGCATACAAGTCAACAGTAAACATGACATGGCATTAATAGTAAGCACTTTTGATTTACCCACATACATACACTTTGATTAAAGTTCAGAGCACTGTGTTAATGTTAACTGTTCTTATGAATAATTTAAGAAGTAAGGTAGCATTTCATGTTAAGTTGAAAAGTTCAACATAAAAATATTTTAATTTCTTTATTGTGTGGTGGATAGTTATGATGAATAGATTGGAAATTGTGTTCATGAATGAATCAAAATAAATCTCATGCGAGTCACCAGATTAACAGCCCTCTTTAATTAATCTAAATGGGATAAAATAAAACGTTCTCTTGTGTGCAGCAATGGTGAAACAAAACACATAATAGGAATGAATAATCTTAAAATAATGAAAAATTAAATTTCATGTAAACTTTTGTTGTAATTAATCAATTTCATAAAATAGAAAAAGTAAAAATAATATGCAAAATTTATAAAAAAAATCACTAGAAACAGTAGGAAGTTGTCTGTCCTAGTTTCTAGGGAATACTGTATGGATTCATGCTGAATATTTAACAAGATTTGAAATGATTTAGTTTCTTTTCTACATTGTCATAGAATCAAAACAACATGTTTTTGAAGCCATGATCAAGAGAAGCGTAACAATGATGGAACGACTCTTGCTTTAAAATGTTGCACATAAAGTTCAGGAACCACATGAGAAAATGATGAGTCCATCAGAGTACCAGTCATTTTTAAGGATTTAGAGTTCCAATGCATGTAGTTTTAACCAAAGAGAAATGTGGAGAAATTTGGTAATGTTTTAGATTGTAAATTGTGTCTGAATGAGTAATGAGGTATCAGTGTTTAACAACTCTTCTACAGTTCTAATGGAATCAGGGAGAGGAATTATTGTGAGTACTGATAATCTATCAAACAAAAGTTGTAGGAATTACCCTTGGTGTTTTAACTGACTATTTAAGAGTTTTTGAGAAAGTACCTAGAACTTTGGGTCCAAAGTTTCAAAATTGTTGATAAAAATTTGGCAATATCAGACACTAACACCCAGTTAAAATTAAAAAAAGACAAAGCATTTTTTGCTATAGACTTGACAGTAGCATGAACAGGAGAACATCCACAATATAAACTTAAACAAGATAAATATCACTGACAAGGGATGTAATATTAAAAGAGACAAATCAGCTATAGTAGTTTACAAACATGATGGTCTTTATATAGGCATCAAACAGAATCATGACTATACCTTGAATTCTTGCTTGCAACCATTTGATAAGAAAATCCAAGTGTTTATTGGAGGTAATATTAATTTTAATGTAAACAAATGACCTTCTCTAAATTTTCCCATTATTTTTTTATCTCATTTTCTGAGTTTTTTTTTTATATTATGAAACACATGATTTTTACCTATTTTACAATATTCATTTCTATCATTCATTTTGTAATTTGAATTTATTAGTGTCCAGTAACTACCGAGATATTATTGTAACCACTGTTGCACACTAGGTGAGATTTTAATGTTAATATTGTTGCTTAGAAATGTTCTATTAAAAGTTTTTACTTTGTACATGAAAACTCATCTATTGAAGGGTCCAGTAAAGTGGTTAAAAGCTTGTGAAATAATAGTAAAAACAAACAATAGAAAACAAGAAGATTGACTGAACTATTTGTTTAATAGCCCTCTGCAGTGTTCTTAACTCTATTACTGGGCAGTGATATGATAGAAATTTTTTTAAGAACTAATATAATTTGGTATCGTCTTTAATTATTGACTTACCATTATAAAAGATTTGACAACATTTAATGCTAAAGTGCTTAATAACAGAATGTATAGTGCTGCATTATTAGAACTAATTTGTTATCTATTCTAGTTTGATTTTTTATCTATGGATTTGTGGGTCTACCGTTTGTGACCCGTTATTCACACCTACAAACGCTCTACAGGTTGAGACCGTGGATCCGTTATAAGAATGACAATCAAATCCCACTATTCGGTCTGAAAGGAGTAGACCAAGAGTTGGCGGTGAGTGATGTTCACAAGCACCCTTCCCTCTAGCCTATCACTTCAAAGTTAGGGACAGCTATCGCAGACAGTGATCATGATAATTTGTTATCTATTCTAGTTTGACTAGATCGGACTGAAGGTTAAGCCTGCAAAAAGTTTTTTCTGGAGAAGCAAAGTTTTGTTTGATATGGTTTTTCTTTAAAGTGTGGTGAACTATTTCTATTTTTGCTTAAATACATAACAGTGAAACTTGTCTTACCATCTTTGGTTGGTAATGGATTTTTCACTTCTGTTTCTGCATGCTTCATCTTAGTAGTATCAAAGCCCTTGATCCCTTCTAACAGTTGCTGTTGACCTTTTTCTTGTTCAATCTCTGAATAAATTAAAAAGTGACAATATAAACTGTGACAAAAATATTTTAATCAATTGGACAAACACACTTATTAATAAGGTCAATGAGATTTAAACTAATAAGTTATGGTTTGTTCTTCCTGGAACAGATAACAAACAGATTACAGTTGTGAACTGCACGAGTTAAATTAATGGAATAAAATCTTTTTTTTTAAATGTGAAAACAGTTTATTTGTTTGCATAAAATTATATAGCGTATTTACATAATGCATGTAAATTTGAACTTAACAAAGGAATAACAAACAGAATAGCAGAGATGATAAGCTAATAGATGGCCGCAGCATGTTTTGTTATGGCTGTAATAAAGCAATTAGTGGCATTAATTATTATTTAGCTACTATTAGATTTTGCATATCCCTTAAAGCAAATATACCATCTCAAAATTTTGAGTGAAATAAAACTAATTTTATTTTATTTCCCAAAGTTGAAAAACAAAGTGCAGTGGTTCTGTTGTACAAGTTATAACACACAAATCCTAAGCAATGAAACTTAAGTCCCTATAAAATTTTCAAAAACAAAAATGAGCTGTCGTATTGTTTTTTTTTGGATGTTTGTAGCGAAAACATATTACATTGTATAACATAGTATAATATTCTTCTATATTCAACAATTTGGAGAATTACTATGTTTTAGAGAAAAAAAATAAAAATTTGGCATTTCATTCTTTCTGTGGTTTTTAATCACACACACATTTTTTTTTTTTTTATAAACATTTATTGGTACTTCATACACATTTTTATTACATTATTTTACCTGGCAGCAAAAACATTTAGTTATGCTTATGTTAGCAGCATGAAACAACATTTCTTTAGAGGATCCCAAATATCTGAATAAAACAAGTAGATTAACTGGTTGATTGTTTGAATGTGTACTATTCTCAATTAAAATATCACATTCTTGACCACAGCCACTATATTTGTTTGGCTTTTCTCTTGAAATGCACTGTGCTTAAGCAGAACGTAAAATATTTGCTCTATTAACAAACTTAGTTTCAAGAGCCTGGACATTTATATATGTTATTTATAACAGAATATTATAACCACAATCAAGCTAAGGCTTGAACTTAGATCAAGAAACAGTGATGAGCCAAATATGGAGAACAAATGATCTAATTTAACACTCATTTTCATGATTGCAAAGAAACATATATAAAACTATTAACTGGGCCTAACTAAAACAAACATGGTAATGAAATACACCTTAAACAGTACTTGAACCAAGAAATTTCATTGCTATCTGAATGAAAAATCAAGACTCACATCCAAAATCAACCATTCTTCACTTTGACAGTAATAACAACAAACTTTTACATAAAGTGACTATAACAGTCATGTAAAAAATGTGTACAAAAAAAACAACCTATAATTTGATTTTTTTTCAAATACAAGTGCTAAACCTACTTAGAGTAATTTCTTACATCTTGATTCTTAAAGAAAATTCTTGTTGGTTAAGTTCTAATACAAACCAAATGCTCTAAAGGTCAGATGGAATGTGTTAAGTACCTTCTCTAAAACACAAGGATAATTTACAAACAATGTTTGCTACAAAAATAACTAATCACTGTGCACTGCTTTGTTATAGAAACAAATGGTATACTACTACAGAGTATAATAATTAACTATACTGTAGAAACATTTCTTAATAGAAAACAAAAACACCTTAACAATACATCATTAAATATTGTGATACAAAATGATAAAAACCTTATAATATTAATTTTTGAGTGAACACAGTGATTAACTGGGATTAAGGTTCACAAGTATTCTGATAAGACAGTATGGGGAGAAAGATTCAAATCTATATTTGTGGTAACAAAACAATTGTATACCTTGACTTTAACTTGCACTGATGTTAATGGGACAGCAGCAAGATTAACTTACCACAATTTTAACCTATATACTATTAACACAGTAACAGGATTCAAATATATACCTCTATTAACTAGACAGTAGGAAAGTTTCCAGTACATATTTGTATTTCTGGGGGAAAAAAAGAGTTATTGGTATGTTGAATAGGTTCCTATGAAATGATGAAGAGTATGGCACAGAATCTGAAACATTGGTTAGTTAGACTAGGTAATGAATTTAATGCAATACTAAGGATGTGCATTTAATTTAGAAAAAAAAAAGGAACAACTGTGGGGATAAAAAATCTTTGTAAAATTTCAACATTCAGTATTAAGGTTTAAGGGTTTAGCTGATAGAGTTTGGACAGATAATTGACAAAGTAAAAACTTCCAAGAATTCTCTTACTCCAGTATGGGATGGGGAATAAAAGTTACAGAGTGGTTTTAAAATTTCTTGAAAACAAGCATGATAGGACATAGTGTTTACTAAAGCAGCTGCCAAGTGATAATACAACAGAAATATAATATTTTAAAAAGTGCACCCTGAAAATTGGGTAGTTTTTTTTTGTTTTTTTGTAGGATGTAGTCTCAATCTATCAAAACACAACCTGACAATAGACTCAGGCATATAATTTTTTTTTAATATGTCATATTTAACTTTTGTAATTGCACAAGTTCATACAATAGATACTAAACTTATATGAAAAATATGCATCAAAAATTTGTTTTAATTTTTCATTTTGTGAAGTTCCTTAACTTTTCTATATCACAAAATCTCTAATAAAATAGGTACAAAAACCAACACCTAACTAACTTTACTTTTGAACAGTTCTAGGCAACTACTCTTCATCAAGCTCCAAAGGCAGAACTTTTAGGTTCCACACAGAGAACTGTTTAGGAGTAACGTTATACTTACATCACTGGACAAACTCATTATATATATATATGGGTTTATGACAAACATAAATACTTCTACTCGCATACATGTAAAGATTGAAAACAAATGTGAACTTTAAAAGATTGTGAGATTAAACGTCGATTGAAAAGGCAACAAAGCACAATCAAAAACTGTAGTCACACTCGGAAAAATTAAACACATATCTAATCTTTGTCATGCCAATCGAGAAAGTGGGGATGGAGAGGGAATAGCAGAAGGAGATAGTTGTTCCCTTATAGGTGGAGAGTAGTCACACAATATGTACATGTTCAAAAAATGGTGTGAAACTGGTGGGGTATAAAGACTGATGCTGATTACTAAAATTATTTTAGCAATGCTAAGAGAGTAATTAATGACAGAGATAGCATTTTGTGTGAGAGCAGGTGAGTCCGTTTCAGAATCTGAACTTTGGCTCATGTTTGTGCTTTCAAACTGATGCTTTACCAATTAATCGAGCAACAAGAGCTTCAAACTTTAAAAAGTTAACTTTCTGTCTGACTTCATTTGCATATACACATACCACCTGTTTGAAATATCTTTTCAGTCAATCTTCACAACCCGAGATGATCTATACAAAGAAGCTAAACTCTTCTTCATGCCATTACAAGTTCTTATACACCAAATTTAAAGCAATATCTGGCAATTTCACTTTCTTATTCAAATTTTTTATTTAAAGTTCACCTGACTTCTTACTAAAGGCTTGAGTGTTTATACAGACTAAGATCAAGATGTAGTAATCAAAGATACTATTAAAGTTAGCCCTGACAAGGAACTAAACTCACTATTCTACTATAATTCTGAACAGATGCCATATTCATTTTTGAGCTTCCATTTCAATGGTAGACACAAGCCAGCATTTTACTGAAAAAAATGAATGTATTAGGATCTAGTTTGCCTAAAAATATTTTCTAAACCTTAATGAAATAAAATTTTTGGATCTCATATGCTAAAAAGTTCATCCAAAAATCTTGTTCTTTTCATTTTGGATATATCTTGCCTGTAAAAGTTAGCTATATATTGTGTTTGGATAAAAAGAAGAGGCTGTATAGAAAGATTTAATACCTATGATACAGTACTTCAGATGCTCATCAAAGAATGTTTGTTTCACCATCTAATGGTGTACTGCTTCAGATGCTTATCTAGAAATATCAATTTCAACACTTATATATAATAAAAGCAATACTCTGGATGCTTCTCTCTCTCTTACATATATATGTATAGAACTAAGTATCTGTTTTAACACTATACAAGTACTACTTCTACGGGTGCTTCTATGTTTCAACACATATGTGCACAACTTTGAACGCTTGTCCAGGAGTATATGTAAAATAGATATACATATATAAATCTGGACATTACTATCTAGAATCATTTGCTTTGTTCACTGTACATCTTTTCTCCTGTATTTTCATTCAGAGATGGGCATACATATTATTCGTCATCTTTTATAAAGATACTAATGTAAGTAACTAAACAAAGATAACATTTATCTACATATTAATTCATAGATGTTTGTCTCAATGATGATAAGTATGTTACACTGTACATATTATCAAGAGTTGCATCACCCATTGGAAATGTATACTAATGAAAGTATACGTGTTGCTTAACATACATACTTAGTCATTTGGGTTATCAAATATATGTTTATTACAGAGTATCATCAGCTAGTGCTTTTCATATCTATTAGGAAATGGTGTACCTTTACATTTCAACTTCACATACAAATATAATGCAACATAAGCACCAAGAAATTTGTCTTAACAACTACGTGTGTGTAATGTACATATATGGACATCCAACTCCTGAGATATAACCATATTACATACTGGAAACAATATTAATGAATCATTTATAAAAGCATAATGAATAATAACTGAAGTTTATGTAATACACATTTTCTTTTCATGAAATAGTTCACAAATGAATGTGTTATTATTAGTGGATTATTGAAATATAAATTAATTAACTTGCAGTTAATCAAATTAAAAATATATAGTTTAAGAACAATAGAAGGAAAAATAAACAGCCTTATGGAGTATTCAGAGTGTTTCTGATGTATACTTAAAAAACAATATCCATAGAAAATTAGAAGTACTGCTTGAGGCTTTCCAAAATTTAATTGAAGTGCTGGAAATATTTCAAGTTTATAATTTTTTAAATATATTGTTTCGAAGGTTTTCTTTGAAAACATTAAACTAGAAGAACCAAAAAAGTTGCTTAGGATGACAACAGCCCAAAAACATATTAAGTTATTAACTAAATATTTTTGAATTACACAGACTTCATCATCAGCATTCTGAAATTAAGCAAAAATATACACTATAGTATACAATGACAAGTATAAAATCAGAGAAGTAGAAAAAGTCACAATTATTACACCAAATTTAAACAGATTTAATAGAAAAGAAGATTATGTATTAACAAATCTCTGATTCTATCATACCAAGTTTAATTTAGTACAATAACCATGACTTTCATTACTTGTATATTTTATTTATCTAATTACTTTTAGAATATTGATGATGTAGCCTGTGTAATCTTTAAATGATTAAAAAAGTTTTGCACTGATGCAATATTAATACTATTTTTGATTAAATTAATATTTCCAACTAATGGATCTGTTAAATCTGTAGCAGAGATGGTTGATATGGGTATTGAGAAACTTTTATTTAAAAACACAATACAAGTAATAATATTGCAACCTGCTTAGGTAAACATCAGGTTATTTAATACCCGTATCACCCGTCTCTGCTATAGATTTACTTCAAGTGGGTTCCTCAACATCATGAATCACTTAAATGATGTGAAATATTAACAGTTTTTAGTAATTAGGGTATATGAAGCTCATTTAAAAACACAAAAAAACACATTTAGACCATATCTACACTCATTCATTTGTTGAAACTGTTCTCAGAATAAATTATTTCACCCTACTAAGCTATAGGATAATCACCATAACTTCAAGAAAATAAATTTTTGGTAGTGTAAATATAGATTTATACATTCACAATGAAATACCACCACCAAAGCCACTAATTTTTGAAGTATGCCAGTAACCATCACCAAAGCATTTGAAGCTATGTTGAGTAACCTCTCACCAATTTTGTTTGGGAGAACTATTTTTTCTTCTGTAGATGCACGTTTTAAAGAGTTGCGTTTGAAATTCCTCACTCCCTGCATGATATTCTGTTGAACTTTCTCCTGTGCTACATCTTAGATTGTATGGTTAGTTTATTTACAAAACAAGCAATACTTTCCAAATGTCACATTTAAAACAATTTTTTAACAAATAGGGGAAAAAAAGCAATTATCAATTGTTTTATTCTTGATAAGACAACAAATATATCACTTTCATAAATGCACAAAATGGTTCTTTCTAAATACTTAATTATAATTTATTACTATTACAAGAGATTTTTGAAAAGATATACAAGTGAAAATAATGTATTTTTTTGAAGTAATAATACATTTAGTTACAACTAACAAACTGAAAATGATTTGTAGTAAACTATGATAAAGACCTTATTTATCGAATTGTAAGTTTATCAATACAAGCTTAGGATCAATGAAAAAAGTAGAAAAAAAAAAGCAGAATATTCATGACAAAATTATTTAAGCAAACATTAAAAACAGATCCAAATACCTTTAAAAAAAGAACAAAATATATATAGATAATTATTATATTTTTTATGGAAAAATAACTGGAGAATTTCAAAGAAACATAATTACACTTGTGTGAGTCTTCATCATTTTCTCTTTTTTTTGGGGGCGGGGGGGGGGGGCAGATATTCTGTGGTATTTCTTCACAACAGAATGGTTGTGATAGGAAGCTCTCAACAGCCATAAAAAATGGCTTGCCTCTAACAGACACTTTAACAAAGAAATGAGCTATCTGTGGATTCTATCAATTTGAATGAAGTCATTAGAGTTTGGTCGTCAACATCCAATAAGACTTAAACAATCACAACAGCTTTCTACAACTACTGTATAACAGGCAGAATGCGGCAAGTTAGCAGAACATACATCAAATTAACTCGGAGATCTGATGAAGGACCATGCACAAGCCTTGAATCATTATTTCTCACCAAAATTTGTTAATGTATACTTTTTTCATTACATAAACTGAATAAAATTAGGCAAGTTTAATAGTTATTATAAAAGATATATGGCATTTTTATATACATAGATCTAAAATAGTATTTTTAAGGGAAGTTTTAAGCTAAAATTTATTGTAATTATCCCAAATTTCATGACTAATTAGCCAACCATCCTGGTGAAATAAAATACTTATTATATGTTAAAGATTTTAATTCTGTTTTCACATAGAACATAACATGTCATGAATTCATCTACTGATTGTAAATATGATAGTAAAGTTGATTTACTGCCTAAAATTTTCATAAGGCATAACAATCTTAACAACATTCTGATAAAATCAGATTTTCATAGAATATAGATCAAAAACCTAAAAGCAAATGCAATAGAATATTTACAAAATAAATCTTCTCAATCAAACAAACTTATTTGTGTTACAAATTCAGGTGTTTCAAATATTCTTTATTATACTTGATAAACTGTAGCTATATTGATTATAAATTAAGGACTTATAAACAAAATCTTAAAACTGTTAGAAATTAACAAGAAAGATAAATTTTATACATTAATATTTTTATTTTTTACCCAATAACATAGCTGGAAGATTAGTGGAATTTTCTAATCGATCGACCACTGGACTTAATCGATTACATTCAATTAGTCAATTATTCTCACATGAGACTTGGACAATTGGAAGAATCAAAAACAGTAATAACTGGAAATACTAGTTCATTAGTTGATTATTTTCATGAGTTACAACACAAACTGATTAATCTGAACAACATTGAATTAATTGAAAATAATGAGAAAGCATAAAAGTAACATTTTGATTACTTTGACAGTTGGTATAATTGAAGCACTAATTTTAATTATTTGATCATTGTAAGTGAGATTACTTGATGTAATTGCCCAATTCTACTCAATAATGCTAATATTTTATCACATATATAACTGGTTACTTTCACAAACAAGTATCTGAAGCAATATAACAAGCATTTAAATATTCAAAAAATTTATGCTAGTTTTGAATATTGCTTTAAAGAAAAACATTCCTACAAAAATAAGGACAAGAATACACATGTTATTTAATAAAATACAAGAAATTAACATAATGGAAAATGTTAAGTGTCATTTATATCTAATAATTTTAATACATCTATAAGCAATAGCTATAAGTATAATAGTATGATACCTTCAGCACTGGGAAGGTGAATTTTCTCCTGAGGCTGAGTGTGGTGAAGTGTAGAACGCTGAAATCCCTCCACATTTTGCAGTAATGTGTTGTGTGCTTTCTCTTGTTCAACATCTGAACTCATGCATCAATCCATGCAGGAAATAAAACATGCCAAAACTCAGTAAATAAATACAAAAAGACCACATTACAATTTCCGAAACATCAATGTTAGGCATATTACAGAAAAAAAGTAACTAATTACTTCTTAAAAAAGGTAATATAACATACTTACATATTAGTTGATAAAAAAGAAAGTAGCATATTATATTACTCATTACATTTCTTCCTTTCCCTTGTTTCACAAAACAATTGTAGTGACTATTACATACTTGCTTAGAAATTAGAAACTAAAGTTTATTTTAGCTTTATCAAATAAAAGAGCGCTAATGTAGGTGTACAACAAAGAGAAGATAAGATGAACTTGCAAAAAGTAACTAATATTACTACTCCCATTAAAAATCTAATGTGCTATAACACCTCATTATTGTCAAAAGTAATATTATTACAGTAATGAATTATTTAAATAAACAATACCTTTGACTCTGAGAAATTATATATACCTAAAGATAATGCTTGTGTAAATAAACATTTTAAAAGAAAGAAAGTCACTGTTTTAACTTTGGTAACAGCAATAACACAAAGAGTTCATGATTTTCAGAACAATTCTATCTGCTATCGATCTCATGCTTTGGTGTATTTGGAAAATTAAAACTTATTTGAAACTATCACCTTATTTCTGATTAAACCTTTAAATAAAATGTAAAAACGAACATTACAATACTAATTTTAGAAGCCAATAAGCATCTACATCAAGTCTGATTATATAAAACCATGTGTGGTTAGACATTCAAAACAGAAGAATGTGTAAGTAGAAAGCATCTCTAGGCATCACAAATGTATGACTTGTTTACGAGTTTGGCAATACGCCAGTGCTAATTGCAGTAAAGCTTGCTGAAGTAATTTACATATACACAGATGCAAAAAGTATGCCTTTCAATTCCATTTAATGTTTATTGATACAAGTTTCTGACAGGTGACAGACAAACATTCCTGAGGTTCAGATGTCTTCTCTCTTACTATTCAACTTCAACAAGTTTAAAGTGCTTCATAAGTTCTCTATGTGGGTTTTAATTAGTTTGAAGAAAAGCAGGACATAAAATGCTCTGTGCGAGTATCTAAAATGCACATACAACAATCAAATACTGAGAATGAATTTTAATCGTGAGAAAAACTAACAACAGAAAAGTATTTCCAAGCTGTAAATTAAGCAAAAACTGACAAAAATGAGGAATGGAAAAAATTTGAACTCAAGCAAGATTTAGATATTATTCTCATCTGTCCAATATTTTCATTAGTGACCCACATTGAAGTATTGTAGTTAATGACTTTCTGTATTCTATATATTAATAAAGCTATATGTAAATAAAACTAAAGTATTAGAAATGCAGACAGAAAGAAGGATACCAACAAAGCTTTTCACCATAAAAGTGAAAGAAATTAACATTTGAATTTGAAAGTCTCTAAGAGTATGGTGTAACTGACAAAACTGGAAGACTAGAGAAGTTAAACATTAAATACTAAAGTATACTTAGGGTTGAAAATATAACAAAAAACACTTCTTTTGAATCTGTTAAGGGACTTCTCTGCTAATCTTTGATATGTTATCCTTTCATATCAGTAACAACTTTGTACAAGCAATGGACTGGACCCTTCCAAAAAAGTCATGCAACCAATTAATTATAATAATTTTAAAAGACTTTTATTAATGGTTAATATATTACAAGTTTCACTGATTTTCATAAATTCATCCTTTGGACACAAAAATTCACAGGAAATTTCAAAAATGATTTACTGTAACTATATCACCCTCCAGGGTTTTTTTTTTTAATAAAAAAAAGATTCCTTTAAACCTAATAAAGCTATTTAAAATTACTGAATTCATGATGTCAGAAAAACAAGTAAGTTCAAGAAGTCTTGAAACAAAATGATAAAAACCCTAGAACCCAAGCACTTTTGAAAGGTGGACCTTTCTTCTTCAGGGGAAAACCTCTTGAAAGTGCTCAGGTTATAGGGATTTTATCATTTTGTATTAGGGTTACTGAATGGAGCCAACATAAACCACACAATTACAAAGTTTACTCAACATAGCTATGCACGAGCCTGACTAGGAAAGCTTCATAATGAACCTCTATTCACCTTCTTTAGAAGGAAGAGAAACTGCTTCTCTGGTTTCAGTGTGCTTCATCTTTGTTGAATCAAAATTGGTTAATTCAACCTTGATGGCTGGAGATACTTTTGGAAGATTTTCTTTCTTAGGGCTTGACATTTTATAGCTACAAGCTCAGTGAAACTAAAAAACAAGAGTAAATAATTTTGTCATTAAATCTGAAAACAAAGTAAAATTAGAATGCTGTAATGACCAAAATAGTAATGAATTTCATCTTTCCATAAATAGTACATGATATATCTTTATTCACCAAAATTATGGGTTTGATTGATATACAAGTATTATCAAAACACTTTGTCACATCTGGTGAGAAAGGAGCAACTTCATGATGTTAAAATGCAATATAAAACCACTTCAAAATAAAGACTGAAAAATATAATCATTGAGCACCTATTACTTTTTTCAAGGGTTGGTTTTTATCAAGGCTAGCTTATTATTAATTAAAATAATGCATTATACCTATTTTTTTTAACTTTAATCTGAATGGTCTTATTTTTCAATATTTGTAATTCAAACATCACTAATTTGGTGATTTTTGCTCACAGAATTCATATTAGTATGACATGCATCGTTTGTTATTACAGAATTTTGCTTAAAATTAAAACAAGGGTTATATGCACACAGTCGTATCTAATTTAGAGCTTGGCGAGTTGCTCTCAATTAACTATGAGCATCAGTTACATCAATTAGTATGGTGTAAAATAATAGGTTAATTGAAATTAGTGTTTCCGATTATTATTATTTGTTTACTCCAACTATCCAAGTAATCAAAATAATACCATCATTATTTCTTATTTATCATTATTATATTATTGATTAATTAAAGCCAGCCTTCTGGCCATGCAATAAATGTATTAATTGATTTTCAATAAATAATAACAAGGTCAATAAACTAATATAGCATTAAAACTTGCATGTGTAAATCATTTCATTAAGGCAATAAAACAACAACACAACATAAGTGTTCTTCTGTATTGTACGTTACATGTACAGTATAATATTACTCATTCTTTACATCTACACTATATTAAAAAGTGTTTGCGGTAATTCGACCAACCCTATTAAAAAGACCCAGGCCCTAAACGTTTGACGGCTTTTATTCCAAAACATATCCAGAGATCGTGACAACATGTTTTATCCATTAGCGACATTTTCACCCCTGCTCTCCGCGTAGAAAAGTTTCGTAACGAACCCGTTCACAGAATGCAACTTTGATCAGAACTAATTTCAAATGTCAGGCAAAAAGCCGATATCGTGATAAATTTATATTAACGTATAATAAAAGACAGCTGTGTTTTTATTATATTATTATAATACTAATTTTGGAGACTAAACTTCAATAGTTAATTTTTTGTATGTTTATTTCTAAATATTTTTGTACAAATTTCACATTTTTGGGATGGAGTTGTTTGCCAATTTTGAGGCACACAGTTATCGTTTGGCAGTATTCGTCTATTCAGAATAGTAAACCATGATCGATGTCACATTGAAACGCCGAAAATTCACGCGCCAATTGGCCCAAGCTGCGAGTCTTTTAAGCACCTAGCGACACCTCAGGATTGAATAGTGGGATTTGACAGTGACTCTTACAGCGCATCAACGGCTCCAGAGAGAAATACAGCAATTTTGTAAGAAGTGAAATTAAGAACAGAATTATTTGAATCAAAGTCCTTGGAGCAAAGTTTTAGTGAATATCCCTTTGATACGTCGAAGCTCAGAAATCCCATACGATAAAAGGGCAACAACAACAAAAAAAAAGGACAATTATGTCTAAAAGTAAAATTTCCAAGCACAGTTTACAGTTAGCGATGATCACAATATGCCTAAACTGTATTTTTCTGAACACATAATGTTACTAAAATTGTTAAGATTTTATTCACCCATTTACGACTGAATACGGATAACTTGTCAAATCTGAAACACACTGCTCAGTATATCAGTAAATGCGTATTTGTTTGTTGTTCAGCACAGAATTGCACAATAAGTTATCTTTGCCGTGTCCTCCGCGTGTATTAAAACCCGAATTGTACTTTAATAAGCCAAGTTAACCCCCGAGCCACTGAGACCCACAAATATATATAGTAAACTGTGTTCAGTGGGACAACATCCACAGTCAATTTGTAGCTTACTGGGCTTTTGTCTGTTATAAACTCAAAAAATCGAAGGGTAACCCTAAAATCGGTTTAGAACACTTAATCGCAGAGTGGGATTTTTTTTATTTTTTACAAATTACGCCTGTATTACATAAGGGTAATACGCACACGGTTATATCACATGCAGATTCGTGCATGAAAAGTCTCTTTTTCGAAATATCTAGCAAAAACCATCCTGACTAAACGACACAAGTAGAATACACAACAGCTGATGAAGTGACAATGTATGAACTCAACTACCTGTCAACTAGTTAAACATATTATTAATAACTTATCGTTCTTTTTTTTCCATATAAGAAAGGATAATGAGTTCTATGACCAGATAACATCAGCCAGAATACAATAAAAAAAATGTAGGGGGATAAAAGCAGGGTTTTAAAAAGGGGGTCGTTAACCTGTAAATAACACCAGGAAGGAGACCTCACCTTAGAAAGGTCTCTTGTCCTACATACCTTAATTTTATCTTTACTGTGTTAAGACTAAAAGCCATCCATCATTTACGTCTAATTAGCCACTGAAAGAATCATTTAATCACTCGGACAGTTAATGCTATGGGTGGTAAAAAATTAGGCTTGTAAATACTTAATAATTAATAATGAAATACAAGTAGAAGAGTATAAATATTATATTCTCAAAATGAGCTTGTGATAACTTGAATATGATCATGGCAGGATATAACTTGTCTCTTTTCCCTTTTTAAGCAAACGCTAGTTATGAATAAATGTTGGTAAAATTTACAGATACCAAATTCTATGACTGACCCCTTTTCACAGAAACTATATATAGGCAGGCAATACGATTGAACATACTCGAGTTGGCTCAAAGCACCGTTAATTTCAAGTCCTTTTTCTAATTTTCTCCGAGTGCACAGAGCCACAAACTCGCTGGCAAATGGAATTATAAACCTTAGATACGGACAGGGGTTTTAACCCACCCTTTGTTCATTTGGTTTCCGAATTCACGATGCACACATAAACAGTATCAAATTTACACTACACATCATGGGAATTGGCGCAAGATTAATGTATTACATCACACATATTCCCAAATCATAATACATCGTTAAAATAAAACCACAAAGATTATACTTTAAAAATCGGTACATCAGTTTGGTGATATCAGGCAGGTGGTAGCACTGCCAAGGTTGGGATGGCTCTGATTGTTAATCGAAATGATATTTTAAATATCTCCTTGATAGGTCATCATAACTTTACAATACTATACAGTGTTTCCTTTTTATAACAATATCTATGTAGGGAATGTCTGTAAATATCATAGAAAAAAAAATCTGAATTTCTTGTTCTTTTTTTATTACACGATAACTCGAAAACCAAAACAATGGTGTCAACCAATTTCACTGAGGTGACAGTTTCAAACGGAGTATCCGCTTTTATAAGTATTATTAATAACTAGTAGTAATTACAGAAAAATCATAATTCAAGTGTAAACCATGTTATTACCCCTTGAAGTTAGCTTTTTTACAGATCTGTTTTGTTCCGTTAAAAAGCTTACGTACAGGGTGAAACAGGAATTATCAACCAATAATAGATAAACATTAAATATTACAGTTGGAACCACATTGTATTTAGAACTTGGTTATGAATACAACCTTCCTGTATTTACTGAAACACTGCATTAAATAAAAAGCAAACAATTAAAGAAAAACTTTTCAAAAAAGGAAGTAAATGTAGGGATGGCATTTGCATCACTACATAATATTACAACTGAGTTTAATTTATCTTATTTTTGTCTGTTAACATTCTACTACACTTTGTGCCTGTGCTATTATGTAGGAATGATGCAAATGCCATCCCTACTGTTTTGTTTGCATTGTTTTTGAAGGAATGATATCAGCCATCCCTACATTTACTTGTACACACATATGTTCAAGTTTGACCCTCAGATATATCGTTTTCACGAGTAACATCCGAGTTCTTCAGCACTGATGAGCTTAAATTTTTATGGTAGCGAACTATCAATAAGATATCAGGACTGCTGTTACAGTATATTCAAACAAACAAAACATGTTGTTCTATATACAATTTTGTTTATTAAATAAAATGCTTATCATAATCATTATACTTATTCACGTCCATTTATTAGTTATTAAAAATCAGTAGAACTAAGAGATATACAGATTTCCCTCTAACTGTAAACTTGTTTGGACTTTATAAATAAAAGTGAAATGCTGAAATTCATTTCTAGCTTCAATTAATGTAGTAATTTTGTCTGACCATCTATAGTTCTTTTACGCTACGGAAAATCATACATGTTAGCCTAACTATGGTAGAACCACATTGTCCTAAAAAGGACATTATCTGTCTGATACAGCTAACATATTCATATCAACTGTACTTCAGTACTTGTATATACATACATTCTTCTATTTCTCGTTATGGTAATAGTATCACTGTTGATGAACTTCCCACATAGGTCAGGGTACCCTATGACAACGAGAAAATGGTGGGGAGGGGTTAGAGAGAAAAAAAAAAAAGACATCGCAAGTCACATTTATTATAGCTACATATATAGTTGGTGAATATGTTCCAGTGCAGCAAACCCCATAAGGCCGCCTTTGTGAAACAGTCACGTGACTTCCGGAGCACTTGGGGCTCGAACTACTTGTATGACGCACAGTAAGTACTGAGTTAAGTATCGTGATTCCTAAAAAGGCATTTCGCGGCCTGCTGTCACGAAGTTTCTCCTACATACGTTTTTTATACACATGGACATAGCTAACGCGCGTGAAATTATGAAAAATGAAAACAAAGAATAAAATGGGTGGAAAAAAAAAGCAACAACATATGAAAATAATATATATGTATATGAATCAGACAAGCAAATGTAGCAAATCAGCAAGTGTTTTATATTCCATTTTGTGCAGCTATTGCACAATCAGTGCCAGCCTTTGAGACGCTAGCATTAGCTTCAACAGTTTCTTTCTGTTTGTGGCAACTTTTCCAAAGCACTTAAAAAATAGGTGAATATGTACCAGGGTTAGGTCACAGATAGTTCAATGACATATATAAAACGGGTAAGAATAGGATTTCTAAGGTGTAAAGATTCACAGTCCCTAATACAATATCTGATACTACAACTTGGAGACAATGGTTAGGGCTAGAAATGTGATTTGGTGCACGAATTGTACTGATGAGGGATTGAAACGATTTCTAACACATATTTTCCATATAACCTGATGTGATATTCAAATCTGGAGGCAGTGGTTAAGGATGCAAGTGTTATTTGTACCAAATGTACTTGACGAGTTTAAATTAATGTCACAACACATATTTCCATATAACCTGATGTGATATTCAAATCTGGAGGCAGTGGTTAAGGATGCAAGTGTTATTTGTACCAAATGTACTTGACGAGTTTAAATTAATATCACAACACATATTTCCATATAACCTGATGTGATATTAAAATCTGGAGGAAGTGGTTAAGGATGCAAGTGTTATTTGTACCAAATGTACTTGACGAGTTTAAATTAATGTCAGGATAGAATACCACACTGTTTTAAAGTTGGTGGAAAAAGTACTCTGGTGGACGCACGATCCGGAAATTAAGGTAGCCTTATAGAATTGAAGATATTATGAGGATTTTTTTGGGGGGAGGGCACATCTACAGTTTACACGATTTTTATCACAAATTTCAGACATTTCGCAATTTTACATCGATATAACAGGTCTTTATTCTTCAAAATAAATTGTGTTTACCGTTTAATGAGGCGATAACGTGGTTGTAAATTAGAGGAAAAACAATTGCTTTTAATGTATGTATATATATCTATATATATAAAAGAGGAAGTTTGTTTATTTGTTTGGAATTTCGCGCAAAGCTACACGAGGGCTATATGCGCTATTAGAGGAGAGAGAGAGAGTACTCATGTGCAAGAT